AAAACAGACTCATTTATGGCCAGCTGAAAACTTTCTGTTTGGGTTTTACCATTTCGGCATGGATCTCAACATTTTTGATCCAACCATAATAATAATATACAATCAAGTCAGCTGCCCTCATTTTTTTTAGGGTGGAGGAAGAAATCCTTTCTCCCTTCAGACTAAAGGAATCCAATATTGGGAAATGTAAATTTTAGTATTCTATTATGTCCTATGGCCACGCAGACAGTAGGACAGGGGTGTCCAAACTATGGCCCTCCATGTGTTGAAGAACTGCAAGTCCCATGAGGGCTTGTAAGACTCTGACATCCACAGGCAAGACACCCAGAGGTAGAGGCATGATGGGACTTGTAGTACTTCTACAGCTGAAGGGCCATAGTTTGGACACCCCTGCAGTAGGATATATGACAGAGTCGGAGAATATTTAATATTGTTGGCTTTTACACATTGCCAAACCCAAACTTCCTCGAGGGTGTTAATTCTAAAATGTGTGCAGAAGGATGAAAGAGATGACCAGGTAGCCACTCTGCAAATGCCATCTAAAGGTACTTTATCAATTTCAGCACATGAAGCTGCTATAGATCTGGTGGAATGAGCTTTTATTGATTTAGGGGGTTGCAAGTGTAAACGCTTGTAAGGAAGCTGAATAACATTTCTAATCCGAGCAGAAAGAGTTGCTTTGCTAGTTTTGCACTTTGATGCTGCCAGCCCAGCGAAGGATAAGATTATCTACTTTCCTAAAGCCGTTGGTTCTATCAAGGTTTGTTTTAACTGCGGAAATCCCATCAAGAGAAATCTGTCATGGTCCTCAGGATGATGGATTCTAGTAGAATTCTGAGATTAGGGCTCTTCAAATGAGAAGACCTAAATTTGTGTCCATTCTTTTAGCTGTGGCTTCAACCGCATTCACTAAACTAAGGCTAAATTCCCTTTGCAAAGTCAACAATCTGTTTGGCTTTAGTAAATCAACCCCATATTCCATATGTGGTCTTTCATGAAAGGAAGCTGAGTTTAAATTCTTGAAGGGGCCCAAAAGGTATTGTACATGAACATACAAATTTCAGGCTTACCGGTTTGGAGTCTACAGGTATTGCAGACCTGTTTTGAAGACTTCAGTTGACTTCACTCATCTACGAGAACTGTACCAAAAGTAAAGCAAAAGTGGGTGTAACTTTTTAATTAACTTACATAGGTTGTTCAAATTTCACATGCTGGTAGAATAACTCTTCCCCCATAATAACTCTTCTTCTTTTTCATTGCAGCTAAATAATGGATCCCATGCAGAAGCAACATGTAGCCATTGAGTTCTTGACGAAGGAGGGGTGCAGGATGTCTGACATCCACAGAAGGCTTCAGAATGTTTACGGAGATTACACCATTGACAAGAGCATTGTGCTCAGATGGATGAAGACATTTAAAGGAGAAAGCAGCATTGAAGACAAACCACGCAGTGGAAATCCATCAATGTCTGACCGCCTTCACCCCTCCTTCACCAAGAACTCAACACCAGCACATTGCTTCTGCTTGAAAACCATTGTGCTGGTGTTGAGTTCTTGGTGAAGGAGGGGTAAGGCGGTCTGACATTGATGGCATTCCACTGCGTGGTTTGTCTTCCGTGCTGGTTTCTCCTTTATATTTCTTCATCCATCTGAGCACAATGCTCTTGTCAATGGTGTCATCTCTGTAAACATTCTGTAGCCTTCTGTGAATGTCAGACAGCCTGCACCCATCCTTCGTCCAGAACTCAATGACCACAAGTTGCTTCTGCATGGAATCCATTATTTACCAGCAATGAAAAAAGAAAACATAGTTACTATAGAGCAGTGGTCTCCAAACTGCGGCTTGAGGGCCAGATGTGGCCCTTTGCTTATCTTTATCTGGCCCCTGGGACACTGTTCAACCATGGGCCATTTTTCATCCCACTGACACCAATGATGGGGCACTATTCCTCCCACTGACACCAATGATGGGGCACTATTCCTCCCACTGACACCAATGATGGGGCACTATTCCTCCCACTGACACCAATGATGGGGCACTATTCCTCCCACTGACAGAAACGGTGGGGCGCTATTCCTCCCACTGACACCAATGATGGGGCACTATTTCTCCCACTGACACCAATGATGGGGCACTATTCCTCCCACTGATATCAATGATGGGGCACTACTCCTCCCACTGACACCAATGATGAGGCACTACTTCTCCCACTGATATCAATGATGGGGCACTACTCCTCCCACTGAAACCAATGATGGGGCACTATTCCTCCCACTGACACCAATGATGGGGCACTATTCCTCCCACTGACACCAACGATGGGACACTATTCCTCCCACTGACACCAATGATGGGGCACTATTCTTCCCACTTTGATACCAATGATGGGGCACTATTCCTCCCACTGATACCAATGATGGGGCACTATTCCTCCCACTGACACCAATGATGGGGCACTATTCCTCCCACTGACACCAATGATGGGGCACTATTCCTCCCACTGACACCAATGATGGGGCACTATTCCTCCCACTGATACCAATGACAGGGCACTATTCCTCCCACTGATACCAATGACAGGGCACTATTCCTCCCACTGACACCAATGATGGGACACTATTCCTCCCACTGACACCAATGATGGGGCACTATTCCTCCCACTGATACCAACAATCGATGGGGCGTGGGGCACTATTCCTCCCACTGACACCAACACTGAGGCACTATTCCTCCCCCTAATGCCAAAGATGGGGGCTTTGTTTTTCCCACTGAAACCAAGACATTTTCTACTTCCACTGGCCACAGTCCACCCCCCCCCCCAAAGTCTGAAGGACAGAAAACCGACCCTTTTGGTTAGAAAGTTTGGAGACCACATGCTATAGAGGATGAGTTACTCTACCAACATGTGACGTTTGAATGATCTAAGTAAATTAATACATTTTTTTCCCTCACTTTTGCAATACTTTCAGTACAACCCTAGTATACACATATTCATAGTACTTTGTCCTTCCATAAATCTTTATTTTCCAACACATTATTGAAACACCACGGTAGCAATATCCCATTAGAACCTTAATCATGCCATCTTTATACCTCTTAAATCCACGCAAGCCATAATCATACCTGACATTTACATATACATATAATAAAATCCTTTCAAAGGACAATATAGCAGCATGCACTGTCCAAAATCGAGACAGCAACTTAATGACTTCTCTTGAGATATTGCAGAGTAATTTCTGGTTATTTCACATAGATATCTGAATTCATGCATAAACACAAATGTAAAAAGTAAACAGGAAACCATCAGGACATAATTTGCAGTTCATCAATATCGAGTCAAGAACTGTAGCAACCTGCTGTGCTCTAAAGAAAAGCCTCCGACATATAGATTCTGAAATACATTGCAATTATGTCCAAGAATCATATGATTAGTGTTTATTCCTAGTGCACCTTTCAAAAAGTTTCCAACCAAATGATGTCTTCTTCATGTTTAGAGCTGCAAGAGTAGACACGCAAAGAACAAATGGAGAACAGTTCTCCAATGGAGCAAAATGATCCACTGTGGTATCAAAGCGACTATTTTGTCTGTAAATTTTTGTAGCACTACCCCCATAGGGGATGCTGATAATAGCTGGTTCTTCCAAATAGTATAGAGCAGCCTTTCTCAACCTTTTTTACCCTAGAGGAACCCTCAAGATAATTTTCAGGTATGAGGAAACCCCATCTAAAACCAATTTATCAGGGGTCAGTGGGAAAACATGCCCATTACATTGGCTGCTATGAGGAAGAATGCTCCTTACATTGGTTGCGATTGGTAAGAATGCCCCTTACATTGGTGATCAGTGGGAAGAATGTCCCTTACATTGGTGATCATGGGAAGAATGCCCCTTACATTGGTGATCAGTGGGAAGAATGTCCCTTACATTGGTGATCAGTGGGAAGAATGCCCCCTTACATTGGTGATCAGTGGAAGAATGTCCCTTACATTGGTGGTCAGTGGGAAGAATGTCCCTTACGTTGGTGGTCAGTAGGTAGAATGTCCCTTAAATTGGTGATCAGTGGGAAGAATGTCCCTTACATTGGTGGTCAGTGGGAAGAATGCCCCTTACATTGGAGGTCAGTGGAAGAATGCTCCTTACATTGGTGATCAGTGTGAAGAATGTCCCTTACATTGGAGATCAGTGGGAAGAATGTCCCTTACATTGGTGATCAGTGGGAAGAATGTCCCTTACATTGGTGGTCAGTGGGAAGAATGCTCCTTACATTGGGGGTCAGTGGGAAGAATGCCCCTTACATTGGTGGTCAGTGGGAAGAATGCTCCTTACATTGGGGGTCAGTGGGAAGAATGCCCCTTACATTGGTGGTCAGTGGGAAAATGTCCCTTACATTGGTGGTCAGTGGGAAGAATGTTCCTTACATTGGTGGTCAGTGGAAGAATGTCCCTTACATTGGTGGTCAGTGAGAAGAATGTCCCTTACATTGGTGATCAGTGGGAAGAATGTCCCTTACATTGGAGGTCAGTGGGAAGAATGCTCCTTACATTGGGGTCAGTGGGAAGAATGCCCCTTACATTGGTGGTCAGTGGGAAGAATGCCCCTTACATTGGTGGTCAGTGGGAAGAATGTTCCCTTACATTGGGTGGTCAGTGGGAAGAATGTCCCTTACATTGGTGGTCAGTGGGAAGAATGTCCCTTACATTGGTGGTCAGTGGGAAGAATGTTCCTTACATTGGTGATCAGTGGCAAGAATGTCCCTTACATTGGTGATCAGTGTGAAGAATGTCCCTTACATTGGAGATCAGTGGGAAGAATGTCCCTTACATTGGTGATCAGTGGGAAGAATGAATCCCTTACATTGGTGGTCAGTGGGAAGAATGCTCCTTACATTGGGGGTCAGTGGGAAGAATGCCCCTTACATTGGTGGTCAGTGGGAAGAATGCTCCTTACATTGGGGGTCAGTGGGAAGAATGCCCCTTACATTGGTGGTCAGTGGGAAGAATGTCCCTTACATTGGTGGTCAGTGGGAAGAATGTCCCTTACATTGGTGGTCAGTGGGAAGAATGTCCCTTACATTGGTGGTCAGTGGGAAGAATGTCCCTTACATTGGTGGTCAGTGGGAAGAATGTCCCTTACATTGGTGGTCAGTGGGAAGAATGTTCCTTACATTGGTGGTCAGTGGGAAGAATGTCCCTTACATTGGTGGTCAGCGAGAAGAATGTCCCTTACATTGGTGATCAGTGGGAAGAATGTCCCTTACATTGGTGATCAGTGGGAAGAATGTCCCTTACATTGGTGATCAGTGGGAAGAATGTCCCTTACATTGGTAATCAGTGGGAAGAATGCCCCTTACATTGGTGGTCAGTGGGAATGAATGTTCCTTACATTGGTGATCAGTGGGAAGAATGTCCCTTACGTTGGTGATCAGTGGGAAGAATGTCCCTTACATTGGTGATCAGTGGGAAGAATGTCCCTTACATTGGTGATCAGTGGGAAGAATGTCCCTTACATTGGTGGTCAGTGGGAAGAATGTCCCTTACGTTGGTGGTCAGTAGGTAGAATGTCCCTTCCTTTGGTGGTCATTGGGAACATGCCCCCCCTTACCATAATGGCCAAAATGCCATCCTCACAGATCGCTAAAATGATTATTTGTGTCATGCCGCTGGCTCGTCAAGGAACTATGCAAGTACCATCAGATGGGAGGTCAATTAGCAACAGCCTAAGGAACCCCTACCGACCTCTGGAGGAACTCTAGTGTTCCATGAAACCCTTGTTGAGAATAGCAGGTATGGAGGCTGCCTGTCCCCACAAGCACCCAGTCCATGCACACTGGCTCCTATAACACAGTCTAGGGGATGTCTTTTTGAAATTGATTGCTTGAAGAACTTTACACAGGAGAGGTGTCAGGGTATGTGATACTCTAAAACACTTGCACAGTAAGATGATGACACTTCATTAGGCTCAAACACCAGTATTCTGCTGAGGACAGGAATTGCCAGAACTCTGGAAGCCTATGAGAGCCATCCAGTCCAAGCTAACTCTGGCACTTAAATCACAAGAAGGCACAGTGTCACCAGAAATCAATTGAGGGTCATTACTAACAGGTCCCCAGGACAGCTGCCATCTTCCATCTTTCTCCGGATATGGTCCAATGAGTGAAACAATCCTCCAGATCAGATCCCCTGTAGTGAAGTCCTACAGCCATCTCCCTAAAAGATCACTCCAGGTCCTCAGCTCTGAGACCTCAAAAAAAGGCAACTCAGTGGGGTGGTTTTTCAGGGGTTGGGCTTGGCCCCTTAGTTCCAGTGAAGGGTACTCTTGGAGGATGGTTTCAGCAGCGAGTTGTCTATGTAGGGGACAATTACAATACCCCTTTACCTAAGGCTGCCAATACAATTATTAAGGAGGTGAGCAAGCCAGGGTCCAGTAGCAAAAGCTAGTCAGTAAACAACCCAAAGGTCGGTAGCAAGTGGTTTTAGGTTGGGATCAAGCAGAAGCGTAGTCAATGAACAAGCCAGTGGTTGGTAACGAGTGGTAGTGAAGATACAGAAGGCAGCAGGAGTAATAAGAGCATGATATTGGCTGGAAAGAGAACAATAATCTGGCAAACAGGAAGTACAAAGGCATGGTTAAAATAGTAAATTCATGGCAGGGACAAAGGGTTCAAAGTTCAGGAGGAATGAGGATCAAGGCAGGATCATTCAAGGAATTGTCTAGGGAGCTGTCCAGAATCATGGGTGTCTCAGCAAGAATAGACATAGTCAGACACAGCAGAGGTTGCAGGTTCAATCCAGCGTCATCACACGAATATAGATCTATATTTATTTCTGATCTTCAACAGGCTTGGTAACTTGAAAAATCCTAGAGTACATCATAGGGGTGACACAGAATAGGTTCCAGAAACTCTGATGTATACAAATTCCTACACTATAGTCTTTATTTAGTGGCTGATACTGTAGGCTCAGAACTTGGGTGGAGGGGCCTACAAGCTTTAAAGCTGTTTGACCTACCTCAACCAGAAATAGGACCTTCTAGAGATCATGGTCAACGACCCGGATTTATTAAAAGACTCCTTATTGTCCAAATTAAGTGTCCTTAAAATCTTATTGTATTTTGAACCAAACAATGCTTTGATCAAACAGTAGAAGACACAAGAGATGCTTTGCTGCTCCAGCCTTCCCCAAAAAAAAAAACCCTCCTGTCATGGTCTGAAGTCAGACTTTGAAGCCAGGATCTGTAGCAGTTGAGAGATTCGTGAGCAATCTGCTGGATTAGTACACAAACAGTCCCACTTAGTGGATGACACAGGCTCAGCCAAGACGTGGGGTCTAAGCACTACTAGATCAGCCTTTCTCAACCTTTTCAACATGTAGGAACCCTTGAAATAACTTTCCAGTCTCAGGAAACCCCTGCTAAAAGTTACTATATCTACAACTTATGATACATTATTGTGATGGTTGGTAGGAAGAATGCTTCTTACACTTGTGGTCATTGGGCAGAATTTACCACTTACAGATAGCTAAAAATATCAATGGTGGCAGTGGGAACTTATCTGAGAGGGAGAAATTGCTCATTGCTCACGGAACCCCTAGCAACCTTTGGAAAAACCCTAGAGTTCCATGGAACCCTGGTTGAGAAACCCTATACTAGATGCCGGTGGAGATGGGTTTCACGGTGTGTGCTAATGCCAGGCCACAGCCCTTAGAATTGCTCCAGCAGGAAGAGATCAAGTTGGGTCAGGGAGCGGATGAAGCAAATAATTAACAATACAGAAGTGCAGTTGTTGAACAAGCTAAAGGTCAATAATGAGTGGCAGTGAAGATAAGGACAGCCGCAGATACACAAGGAGCAAAATATTGACTGGACAGAGCACAACAATCTGGCAAATAGGAAGTGTAGAGACATGGCTTGAGTCAGGAAGTTCATGGGATGAGCAAAGAGTTCAAGGTTCACCAAAGCAAAATACAAAGCAAGGTTGTCAAAGGGATCGGGCAGGGAGCTGTCCAGCATCTCAGGTGGCACAATGAGAAGATCTACAGCCAGACACTGCAGAGGTCCCAGGTTTGGATCGGGACCCTGACACCTCCTCAATAGAGCCACCATCCTGGAAATGATGTTCAACATATCCAAGGTACATTTTTAGGTGAACTCCACAACTGGTTTCATATTCTGTGGAGACACAAGGAGGACATCTTTAGTAAACCCATCATCCATGTTTTTCCTGAGATGACAAACTTGGAGCCCAAGGGGCTCTGACAATAGCTACACTAACAGCTAAACAAAATAAATAAAAATGTTAAATAAATAGAACCTTCTTTATGCCTAAGAGAGGCACTGTCACTATAAGGATAAGCTGACCAGCACATCAAACTTAGGGCTCTACGCCAAGGTTCTGTATTAGCTTGGTCTGTCAAATAAGACTGTTCTTAATTTTATCCCAGGGTCCAGTTTCCTCTCAGGAGCTTTTCATTCTTTATCCATTATTTCCTTTACAACGTGGAGTGAAGGGAAAACTGCCAATTTCTGCTAGGGGAATATACCAAAGTGTATTTGTTAAAGTGCATCTGAACTCAAAAGCAGGAAAGATTTATTGTGCTATAGGGAACATCTAGAAATGTTAAATGTAGCTAAGCAGCACGATGAAATTTTACCCTTTTTCTTGAATTTCTCCAGAAAAAAAATGCATGCAGTGTACTTCCTTTGTATAGGCAGTCCTGTGCCTACAGTCGCATACAGTAGCTGTACAATATACCGGCAGTGCGAGATCATTTAGGTCAATGGTCCCCAAACTCCCTGGCACCAAGGACCGGCTGCGTGGAAGACAACCCATCCACGAAAGGGGTTGGAGGATATGGGTGCAGCCTGAGGGGGGTGTTGGGGGTGAGTCCTGTCACCTATGGGGGGGGGGGTGCAGTCTGGGTCTCACCAATGATCTATGAGATCCTGTCCCCGGCCTGGCTCTCCTCCCTCTCCTTCTCCTTCTATGTGACATCAGAGAGGGAAGGGAGTATTGGTGCTGGGAGAAGGGGAGTGGGCACCCTCTGGTGATCGGAGGGTGGCAGTGAAGGTTGTGCTGGCTTACTCTGCTCACTGCCAAACCCCACCATGTGGCCCAGCCCCCAGCAGGCCACGGACCGGAACCAGTATTTGGCCCAGGGGTTGGGGACCCCTGATTTAGGGAACTACTACACTGACTACTAATCTCATCAGATATGGAGTAATTTTGATGATGCCTCTACTGTGCTGCTCACTGTTCTCCTTGCTGAGGAGGAAGCTGCACCTGAGAACCTGCAGTGCAAGGATCTATCTATTTCTATGTCATTCTGTTACCTCCCCTACCACTGCCTGATTATTCCTTTATCAGTCCTGAGACCACTAGCAAGGTGGTAGCCTTCACATAGATTCCAAGTGCAGAACTAGGTATGACGGAGAAAAGATCGGCTGTAGGAAAACCTTCAGGCAAACAGTCTTTTGATCTCTGCTTGCCTTTTTTGGGGGCCTCAACTTCCCCAATTCAGTTCCTCTTTAAGCTTCTTCTCAGCCTCCATACACCCTTTAACAAATCTAACTTCTTAAATTGATTTAAAAAAACAAAAACAAAGGAGGATTCTCATATAGAATGAGGGCTTCGTTCCCCTTCATTTTAGCTGCTTCTTTGGAATCAGAGTCTGGCTGTGACCAAGGATGCGGAGAAACCTCCCTCAAGGCATTTTGACTTTGATCTCCCGATAAGTGTCAGTCATAGCAATGATAACAATTAAAAGTTCAAAAAAAAAGTTGTTGCAACTAAAGAAGACTGGAAGTACATATCTGACAGTGATCAAAATCAAAGTCATTTGATAGGGTCTTATCACATGATGCGCACAACCTGTGAATTAATTTTCTTTTTGTTTGATGTGATTTATCAGATGATATATATAGGAAGATGCGTGCAACGAGTCACAGCAAAAGAAGTTGTTACCATGAATTTGTGCTGATGGAAAAAAGAAAATAATAAATAGGCTAGCATAGATCTGATTAACCCTGGTAGCAGCAAACTGACCGTAGTGCAAACAGTAAGTAGGGGTGTATTGTAGGGGCACTGGACCCCTTGAGTTATTGAGGATAATTGTAGGCAGGTGCAATCTATTTTCACCTCTGTAGGTGGCACTCGAGTGGTACTGCAGCTAGAGAGGAAGTCAAGGGAAACCTGGTCTCTCTATGGTCCCCACGCAGGGCTGTCCTAATGCATGGGCACCCCAGGGCACTGCTTAGGGGCCCCATGTGTATGGGGGCCCCATGATAATCTTGCATTACATCATACTTGCCAAATATCCTGGATTTGCCAGGACAGTCACTCTTTTTACTGAGCTGTCCTGGGATGGCCTGCTATATTGTAAAGCACTGAGCAAACTGTTGGCGCTATATAAATCCTGTATAATAATAAAATAATAATACCCAGAACCAGGGGCGGACTGACAACTCATGGGGCCCCCGGGCAATAGGGGATCATGGGGCCCCTGTGTCCTTGCCCAAACTCAAAAAAGCCTATGAAAAAGGTACCAGGGGCATCTCATGGGGCCCCCTACTGACCCCAGGCAGTGCCCGAGTTTCCAAATGGTCAGTCCGCCCCTGCCCAGAACCTGTACTGTGCCCTCCTGATCACAGTATTGTGCCCTTTGTGACTGACTCCCCCTACATTGTGCCTTTCTGCTTGTGCCTGTAACGGAACCGGACCCCAGACCGCACTTGGGTATCTCCGTTATACCGCAGCTTCTCTGTCCGAACACCATCCACGGACCACACCCTTGAAATCCCTCAGGAAAAGGACAGCACCCGGCTCTTCTTAAAACAGGAAGTCAACTCTTTATTTCTACACAAACAACAAGTTATATACACAGGGCGGGGAAACACAACCAAGAACAGGAAACACATCATCATCCCGCCCCATCAGTGGGAAGGGCTGCAGGGAATACATCATCAGCCAGCCCCATCAGTGGGAAGAGCTACAGGGAACCACCCCCCACAACCCAAGACACACAATAGAACAAAGGAATAGCCACAAGGCAGTAGACAATGGGCAACCATGTGGCCGAGAACAAAGGAACACACACTATACACAGGACTGGGACATTCATATGTACACCCTGTACCCTAACAGGCACAGGGTCGCTTAAACATATGAATTTGGGAGGATGATACAGAGGTCCCCCCACCCCAAAAGTCACTCCCGTCAGACTGCCCCTTCCACCCCCCCCGTGCCCTTTTTTGAAAGTACCAATAAATATATGTTTAACTTTATCAACTATTTATACTTTAATTCTTGAGAGTAGGTTTTGTAAATTGGGGCAGGCCGGTAGGGGCCCCAGTGCATTACTTTGCCCAGGGACTCATGATGCTATTAAGATTGCCCTGTTCTCACTGTTCCCCAGTGTTCCAGTTGGCTACGCTGCATCCAGGTGATACTGGAGACCATCTTGGGTCACACAGAGTCTTTTTAAGTCCTTTCCCCTAGATTTTGGCATGCATTTGAAAAGTGGCTAGGGACAACACTAGCAGCAGGGAGAGGTTTTGGAAGAGAAGGGAAAGCTCGTGGCCTAGGTCTTCACTCCAGCAAGCTCCTTTTTGAGTTGGACTAGCCAGGCCTAATTCTGTCTTCAGTTTGGGCCTACTACCGCTGACTCTTTGCTCCATTGACTAAAAGTTCCCAGTTGGGTGAGCTGGGCTGTTGTACTGTTGCAAGTTCTTCAATACATCAGTTACTGCATTCTGGTCCTCTGTGTGTTTACTGCCACCACACCATTCTACATCTACCCAACAAAGATCATATAATTCCTGAAGTTTAGAGGCAGCTCTCTGTCAACAAGGGTCCACAGAAATGTTGTACCTCTGTATTGTCTCTACAGATTATGAAACCAGTTGGGGAGTTCTTCTGCAATTTTTCCTTGGTTATGTTAAAAACCATTACCAGGATCATAGGATCTGGGATGTGATGGTCAACTAAGGTCTGAGGTGTTCAAAGGGCTGACCAGTGGTCTCTAGTGCAAAATGGTCACTGGAAAAGAGAGGAAAGCAGGAGAGCCCTTTTGGTGTGGTTAATTGGTTCTGAAATGAAAGATGGCTCAAAAAAGTTGTTCAATCACAGGAAAAAAGAAAGCTGGAAAAACGACTTACATCTGTTGAGACTGGGGTCGCCCTGTGGGGTGGGAACATGCAACCTTCCAAGTACGTGGGTGGAGGATAACCTGTCTGCACAAATGATAAGGATGGTCACACTTGATGCCATGGGAGTCCCAGTCCTGGGTCCTAGGCAAGGTTTTCAGTTGGGGGTGTGAAATCAGTGAGTTCAGATGGAGTCTGCAAAAAAAACCCTCCCACTAAACTCACTGATTTCCAGGACTGTGGCCCTACTGAGAAGGGCTTTTCGGATAAAGGCAGGAACAGCAAAGACTAACTTGCATCTTCTACTGTTTGAATCCAGCATATTGGGTACTTAAAAACACAATAAAACTTTAAAGACAATTCATGAGGACAAGGTAGTGGAATAATGAGAGTATGCTATCAGTTAACATGGTTTAGTATGGGTTTTATTATTAAAAATGGTGTCAGGGTAAAAGGCCAACATTTTTCAACCACTCAGAGATCCCCCTTTATCAGGTCTTGTATACTTGCAATGATAAAAGACAATACTGGACAAGTAATCTCCGTGAATGGAGTTAAGCATGGCAAACAGTAGCTACACTGATATAACTACTTCAAGTCTCCTGAATCCACATGACCTTTACCCAGTGGTGTATTCAGGTTTCGTGCTGACCTAGGCAGCACAAAAATTGCCCCCCCCCAGAAAGACCCTGACACCGACCAACAACCCCCTTCCCCATGAAGAGAGCCTGACACTGACCAACAACACTCCAGGCCCCGTCACCCAAGAGAGCCTTCCACTACCAATGCCCTCCCATACACTGGCAACCCCAACTTGGCAAGAGAGAAGACACTCACCTTCACAGCTCAGGACATCCTTGGGAACAAGAGTCAGGCTCTTCATACACCATCAAGCAGCCCACAGCCTCTTTCAGATCCCACCTGGTCCCCATGTTGGGTGTGTCTCTTCTTCCATCCCTTCTTTCAGGGGACAGCTGCTGCCCCCCTGAAAAATGCTGCCATAGGAAACTTCCTTGTTTGCCTTGTGGTAAATACACCCCTGCCTTCACCCAGTGGTGGGCAGGTGGGGTAGCTGCCCTGGTCACAGTGGTATCATGTGAGGTGTGTGTGTGTGTGGGGGGGGGGGCACCACATGGGAAGTTCCTACCTACAAGCTGACAGGAGTAGTGACTGGCAGTGTAACAAACAATTGTTCTTGGGATGAGAGTATGTAACCTGGGGGGGGGGGGGGAGAATATTTGTGCCAGGTGGGGGGGTTGGGGGGATATGTGCAAAAAGGGAGGATTGAGGGGGAGAGGATTTGTACTGAGAAGAGGCATTTGGGTGTCGGCAATGGCTTAAGATTTGTTTTAGGAGGCAAAATTGGGGGGGGGGGGGGGGGGGGGGGTGATTTGGGGGGGTTGGAAGGGAGAGAGAATTTCTGCTCAGAAGTTAAATTTCAAGAGAAGAGTATTTGTGCTAGGAGGGGGATTTAAGTAGGGAGAAGATTTGAGCTGAGAGAGGGGATAGGGGGGAAAAGATTTGTGCTTAGTTGGGGGGAGGTGAGAGTTTGTGGATTTGAGAGTTTGTGGATTTGTAGAGGAAGAGGGAGAAGCTCTACTCGCTTCCTCTGCCGGCTTCTGTGTTTACCAGTGGCAGCGCTCGGCATGTACTTGGCAGGAGAGATACCTGCACATAATTTCTGACAAAAGAAGCCCTGCCTATATTTATAATATTTTAATGGGATTTGCATGATGTTTATGTTAATTTTTGCTTGATGTGCTTTCCTGTACCCCAAGATGGACAGAGCTTATACACGCATATATAGCAGGCTCCACCCATTACAGAACACTACAGGAGGGGGCGGAGACAAGAGCAATCACCCTGCACAAGGAGAGAGAGCAGGGGCTGTGGGAGAGACCCTGCAGGCTCCACCCACTACAGAAAACTACAGGAGGGGGGGGCGGAGACAAGAGCAATCCCCCTGCACAAGGGAGAGAGAGAGAGAGAGAGAGCAGAGCTGTAGGAGGGACCCAGCAGGCTCCACCCACTACAGAAAACTACAGGAGGGGGCGGAGACAAGAGCAATCACCCTGCACAAGGAAAGAGAGAGCAGAGCTGTGGGAGGGACTCAGCAGGCTCCACCCACTACAGAAAACTACAGGAGGGGGTGGAGAAAAGAGCAATCACCCTGCACAATGAGAGAGAGCAGGGGCTGTGGGAGGGACCCTGCAGGCTCCACCCATTAGAGAAAACTACCGGAGGGGCGGAGACAAGAGCAATCACCCTGCACAAGGAGAGAGAGAGAGCAGAGCTGTAGGAGGGACCCAGCAGGCTCCACCCATTAGAGAAAACTACCGGAGGGGCGGAGACAAGAGCAATCACCCTGCACAATGAGAGAGAGCAGAGCTGTGGGAGGGACCTAGCAGGCTCCACCCACTACAGAAAACTACAGGAGGGGGCGGAGACAAGAGCAATCACCCTGCACAAGGAGGAGAGAGAGAGAGCAGAGCTGTGGGAGGGTCCCAGCAGGCTCCACCCACTACAGGAGAGGGCGGAAACAAGAGCAATCACCCTGCACAAGGAGAGAGAGAGCAGAGCTGTGGGAGGGACCCTGCAGGCTCCACCCACTACAGAAAACTACAGGAGGGGGCGGAGACAAGAGCAATCACCCTGCACAAGGAGAGAGAGAGAGCAGAGCTGTAGGAGGGACCCAGCAGGCTCCACCCATTAGAGAAAACTACCGGAGGGGCGGAGACAAGAGCAATCACCCTGCACAATGAGAGAGAGCAGAGCTGTGGGAGGGACCCAGCAGGCTCCACCCACTACAGAAAACTACAGGAGGGGGCGGAGACAAGAGCAATCACCCTGCACAAGGAGAGAGAGAGAGCAGAACTGTGGGAGGATCCCAGCAGGCTCCACCCATTACAGAACACTACAGGAGGAGGTGGAGAAAAGACCATTCACCCTGCACAAGGAGAAGAAGCAGCAGTGAGCGGTCTTTATTCCAGGAAGTCTCACATTGGATGACTGCACAGATCTGGAAGAAATACAGTGGATTTCAGCAATATCTGCTTATCCCCAAGTCCAGCTTTATGTATTATCAGCTGAATTCATTCTGTTTATATCCATACTTTTGGCAATTCCTCGGTGAAACGCGCAATTTCCACATTGATTCCGAAAAAAAAAAAACCTAGCGCTCTGCTGCCCATTGATTAATGTTTATACCCTAATCATGGTAATGGATATTACTGGTTAGCTACGTCCAATTTCCTTAACATCTCATGGACGTGTCGGGATTCCTCCAGCCTCAGCATGTTTTATCATGTTATATTTATTAAGGTTTGCGGCGTGCGAAGCTTCTTCTCCAATATTCTGCATTCCGCTTGAGATCTCCTTTTCTAATAAGATACTCGGCTAATCAAATAGCTTTCTGTTATTGCGCTCTGCACACCGAGCTCCGTAATGGACCCGAAGTACTCCTTAAATGTGTTAGATACAGAAATGACTATTTTTTATTTTCAGAGCACTTCCTTTTATCATGAAATGATTACGTTATCGAATGACTTTTTATTGTTAAAGGGGCCCTGTACTCTGGAAGCCGGAGCCCTTCGTGGCCTCTTTGGCTAAGATCAGGTGGCTTTGTGGAAGCTGGGCCCAAAAAACTCAAGTAGAATGCCGAGGGCAATTCACCAGTAGGGCTTGTTGGCTTCCTGCAGCTGATCTGTTGCCCATTAACTGACTTGTTCTACATTGTAAAAATTAAAACAATAATACATGATTGTGGCGCCAAATACTGGAAGTGAAATAAAAAATTAATATCATGAAACATAAATTGGTGTTTAAATCAGGCCTGGATCTAGGGGGGTGCTGGGGTGGGCTATGACCTCAGATTTTAGTTGTGCACCCCCAGACCTCTGAGAGTGAATTCACAAATCCATGAGACCTGATGGGTATAGTTGATGTAAGGGGGCACTCTGATGGGGGGGACAGTTGATGTAAGGGGGCACTCTGATGGGGGCAGTTGATGTAAGGGGGCACTCTGATGGGGACAGTTGATGTAAGGGGGCACTCTGATGGGGGCAGTTGATGTAACCCCCCCCCCCCCCCCCCCCCCCCCCCCCCCCCCCCCCCCTGGGGGCACTCTGATGGGGACAGTTGATGTAAGGGGGCACTCTGATGGGGGCAGTTGATGTAAGGGGGTACACTGATGGGGACAGTTGATGTAAGGGGGCACTCTGATAGGGGCAGTTGATGTAAGGGGGCACTCTGATGGGATTAGTTGATATAAGGGGGCACTCTGATGGGACAGTTGATGTAAAGAGAGACTGTTATAGGAACTTTGATGTAAAAAGGAGCTCTGAGAAGAACTCCTGATATAAGGAGGCCCCCTCCCCCCCCCCAGATTTTAGTTGTGCACCCCCAGACCTCTGAGAGTGAATTCACAAATCCATGAGACCTGATGGGGACAGTTGATGTAAGGGGGCACTCTGATGGGGACAGTTGATGTAAAGGGCACTCTGATGGGGACAGTTGATGTAAGGGGGCACTCTGATGGGGACAGTTGATGTAAGGGGGCACTCTGATGGGATCAGTTGATGTAAGGGGGCACTCTGATGGGGACAGTTGATGTAAGGGGGTACTCTGATGGAGACAGTGGATGTAAGGGGGCACTCTGATGTGGACAGTTAATGTAAAGGGCACTCTGATGGGGACAGTTGATGTAAGGGGGCACTCTGATGGGGACAGTTGATGTAAGGGGGCACTCTGATGGGGGCAGTTGATGTAAGGGGGCACTCTGATGGGGACAGTTGATGTAAGGGGGCACTCTGATGGGGGCAGTTGATGTAAGGGGGTACACTGATGGGGACAGTTGATGTAAGGGGGCACTCTGATAGGGGCAGTTGATGTAAGGGGGCACTCTGATGGGATTAGTTGATATAAGGGGGCACTCTGATGGGACAGTTGATGTAAAGAGAGACTGTTATAGGAACTTTGATGTAAAAAGGAGCTCTGAGAAGAACTCCTGATATAAGGAGGCCCCCCCCCCCCCCCAGATTTTAGTTGTGCACCCCCAGACCTCTGAGTGAATTCACAAATCCATGAGACCTGATGGGGACAGTTGATGTAAGGGGGCACTCTGATGGGGACAGTTGATGTAAAGGGCACTCTGATGGGGACAGTTGATGTAAAGGGGGCACTCTGATGGGGACAGTTGATGTAAGGGGGCACTCTGATGGGATCAGTTGATGTAAGGGGGCACTCTGATGGGGACAGTTGATGTAAGGGGGTACTCTGATGGAGACAGTGGATGTAAGGGGGCACTCTGATGTGGACAGTTAATGTAAAGGGCACTCTGATGGGGACAGTTGATGTAAGGGGACACTCTGATGGGATCAGTTGATATAAGGAGGCAGTCTGATGGGGACAGTTGATGTAAGGGGGCACTCTGATGGAGACAGTGGATGTAAGGGGGCACTCTGATGTGGACAGTTAATGTAAAGGGCACTCTGATGGGGACAGTTGATGTAAGGGGACACTCTGATGGGATCAGTTGATATAAGGAGGCAGTCTAATGGGGACAGTGCTAAATAAACATAAAGTGTAACAGTCCTTTTTTTTAAAAAAACTCAATAATGGTGACAAGAAGATCCGTGTATTCACACCTCGGTGCAAAGACAAAGGAATGGCTCACTCACCAGACCTATATGAGCCGGTGGTCATATAACGCATTGTGTTTGATAAGCCAAGATATTCTCTAAAGGTTCCTCCAAACCTCCATCCCCCTCCCTTCATAGTTGTACAGCCAGGAAGGCTGATGTAAAATTGCCGATATATTCCCCAAAAGATACAGCGGCGTATTTACCACAAGGCAAACAAGGCACTTGCCTGGGGCGGCATTTTTCAGGGGGGCAGCACCTCCCCCCAGAAGAAGGGATGAAAGAAGGGACATGCACACCATGGGAACCAGGTGGGACCCGAGAGAGGCTGTGGGCTACTTGATTGTGTATGTAGAGCCTTACTCTCGTTCCTGGGGATGTCCGCAGTGGGGGGGGGGGGGGGGGGGGTTAGTGGAAAGCTCGCCCAGGTGGGGGGCAGGTGTCAGTGTCAGGCTCTCCATGGGAGGGGGAAGGGGTTGGTTCATGTTCGTGGGGGCAGACGATTTTTCTGTTGCCTAGGGCCTAAATACAAAACTGTTCTAAGTGTAGTATTTAATGAGGAAACAGCAGAATTATATACATTGTGCCTATGGATGGAGGTGGCTATCTGGATAGAGGAGAAGAAATTTGATTTCTCATGTCAAAGCTGCCCCAATGATAACTGGGAATGCTTGCTGGTAGCATGAGACTACAAAGCACCAGGTTCTCAATGGTCTCTGGTCATCTCCTGTACCTATGTCCGCAGTCTCTGGTCATCTCCTGTACCGTGTCCGCAGTCTCTGGTCATCTCCTGTACCGTGTCCGCAGTCTCTGGTCATCTCCTGTACCGTGTCCGCAGTCTCTGGTCATCTCCTGTACCGTGTGCGCAGTCTCTGGTCATCTCCTGTACCGTGTCCGCAGTCTCTGGTCATCTCCTGTACCGTGTCCGCAGTCTCTGGTCATCTCCTGTACCGTGTCCGCAGTCTCTGGTCATCTCCTGTACCATGTGCGCACTCTCTGGTCATCTCCTGTACTGTGTCCACAGTCTCTGGTCATCTCCTGTACTGTGTCCGCAGTCTCTGGTCATCTCTGTACTGTTTCCGCAGTCTCTGGTCATCTCCTGTACGTTTCCGCAGTCTCTGGTCATCTCCTGTACTGTGTCCGCAGTCTCTGGTCATCTCCTGTACTATGTCCGCAGTCTCTGGTCATCTCCTGTACTATGTGCGCAGTCTCTGGTCATCTCCTGTACTGTGTCCGCAGTCTCTGGTCATCTCCTGTACTGTGTCCGCAGTCTCTGGTCATCCCTGTACTGTGTCCGCAGTCTCTGGTCATCTCCTGTACTATGTGCGCAGTCTCTGGTCATCTCCTGTACTGTATGTCCACAGTCTCTGGTCATCTCCTGTACTATGTCCGCAGTCTCTGGTCATCTCCTGTACTATGTCCGCAGTCTCTGGTCATCTCCTGTACTATGTCTGCGGTCCATTGGTTCAGAATATTTTTTTTCTTCTTTTCCTCCCGCTAAAATCTAGGACTGTCTTATGGAGCGAAAAATACAGTACATCCTGTATAATAATAATACTTCCATCCAGGGGTGGACTGACAACTCATGGGGCCCCCGGGAAATAGGGGATCATGGGACCCCTGTGTCCTTGCCCAAACTCAAAAAAGCCTATGAAAAAGGTACCAGGGGCATCTCATGGGGCCCCCTACTGACCCCGGGCCCTCGGGCAGTGCCCGAGTTTCCAAATGGTCAGTTCGCCCCTGCTTCCATCCAAAATGCTGTCAACGTTGGCCAAGTTGGGCAAACTTTTAAACTGTTTTAACCCAACAAGACTCTTTACGTCTTGTGATGTGCTTCAGTACAGACTTCTATTTGTCTGTCAAAGTTAATACCATATGGACATTGTTTTTTGTGAGGCCGGTGTCAGATGGCAATTTTGTAGCAGAGATTTATCTCAACCACCGAGCAACGGAGCAACAAATTGCTGTAAAAATGAATAGGTTAGCAATCCCATTGAATGATTACGAATTTCCTATCAAGAAATCATAATAGCAGAATGAGGTTGGGATCGCTGTGAACCAAAAATTGCCCGTCTGACGTCAACCATATGCTACATAATTTTTTCTTAGCCCTATATCACTTTTCGTTGACCCGTCCCCAACAGCCTGTGTTTCAATATTGGATTCACATTCTCCCTGCAGATTCAGAGACTATATCATCTGCTTGGCATTCGCCTCAGCTATGTAGTTCTGCTGGAAGACAACTTTAAGTCTCAGCAGTTGTTTATTATTCTCAGGTCCCAATTTTTTTCCTCTGGTTTTCTGGGTTCAGTTATCAGTTTTTATTGGGTATGCTGGGGATACTGAACTTTTCTCTGCCTTAAATTATTTGCATCAATAGTCGCTATCTCATAGAATAGTAAAAGTTTCTACTTTCCAATAATGAAAATGTTATCATAAACAGCTAGAAAAAAAAAGTCCTCCTTCTGCAAGAAATAAATGTTTAATGCAAAATTACCAAGACGTCTCCTACAATGTACAATACTTACACTAATATTAACATAGAAACAATCTTTGATACCAAATTGCATATACTGTAGATCCCATGAGCAGATTTTTTTTTTTATTCTGGTGCATCAAGTGCCGAGAGGTTGGTTTACCAAAGATGCATAGGCTGTTCCCTTGCAAAGCACAACTTCCTTCGCAAAATGAAGCAGATTTCTCTCTCCTCTCAAACCTGTGGTGGTGGAGGAACTGTCGGCACTGGCTCTGGGCTGTGGGAGAGATATTCTCAGCTCAGAGCCCTAGGGGACAGTCTATCCCAGCAATGGGCAAACTACGGCCCGGCGGACCTTTTAATCCGGCCCGCGGAGCGTGATACATTGGCTGTCAGGATGTGTGTAGGGGGGGCAGCGTGACGAACGTGAGGGGAGCTAGGCTCCTCTCACAGTCCACCCTGAAGACCGGAACGGCGCGGGAACACGGCGAGAGGAACGCGCGGAGCAAAGGTAAGTAAATTGACACAGGGGGGACTTGGCTTACTACTTGGGGGGGAATAGTACTATGGGGGATAAATTAATATGGGGAATGAATTACTATGGGGGATGAATTACTATATGGGGGATGAATTACTATGGGGGATGAATTACTATATGGGGGATGAATTACTATATGGGGGATGAATTACTATGGGGGATGAATTACTATATGGGGGATGAATTACTATGGGGGATGAATTACTATATGGGGAATGAATTACTATGGGGGATGAATTACTATGGGGGATGAATTACTATATGGGGGATGAATTACTATATGGGGGATGAATTACTATATGGGGGATGAATTACTATATGGGGGATGAATTACTATATGGGGGATTAATTACTATGCTTACTATGGGGGAATATTACTATACTTACTATGGATGACACATACACATCATTCATCTACTCTTGGTCCGGCCCCCGGGTCCAATATATGAACCCATTGCGGCCCTCAAGTGAAAACGTTTGCCCACCCCTGGTCTATCCTGACAGATCCCCCTCAGCAACCACAGAGAGGGGGGAACCCGGAAGCACTGCAGGGGATTTTGGGGGGGGCGGCCACCGAGAGAGCCTACAGGAGCCCAGGGCAGCAGGAAATGGATAGGAACAGTGGCCAAGTGGCACATAGAGGAACTGATCCATTCATTTCTTTCCTGCCTGTCCCGAATGCCTGCAGGAGGCAGAGGAAGAGAAGTGGGCATTCAGTGGCTGCAGGAGAGAAATGCATGGATAAGTTCCTCTATGTGCCACCTGGCAGCTCCTCCTATCCAGGCGGTGCAAGCCCACCAGGCAAATGCCTGTGTAAGGGATTTCCGGCAATCGCGATCGGAAATGCGCATAGGAATTCCAGGAGAAGAATTACCGGTTGTGCGCATGCACGCAGAAATGCGCGATCGCGCACACGCACGGCGAAGATTGGCTCCAGACGGCCTATTTAAAAAGTATCTCTGCCCATTTTGAGTGCTGACTGGTCTTCAGCTCCCCCCCGTGCTTGTTCCTGTGTGATTCCTTTGTTGCTGACCCGGCTTGGTCCTTACCTGACTCTGATTGCTCTCCTGATTGATACTGGTTCCTGACTTCGGCTCGGCTCCTGAATTTGGCTTTCATTCTGATTCTGTACCGTGCTGCCCGACTGTTGATGACCCTGGCTATTCCCATGACACTGCTCCTGTCTCTTACTCTCACTACCTGCCTTGTTCTGGTGCACATCTGGCAATCTACAAGACCTGCTCTGCTTGTTACTACTGTGCCTGAATCAGTAGATCATCGGTCTTCCAGAGTCATCATCTGCAAGAGCTGCAAACAACAACTACTGGCGCTTTTGTTCCCCTGGGTCCTAGACTCCCTCTGTTCCAACTCCAGTGGGGTCAGGGCTAGTGACACAAGTGAGGCCGGCCTCGTCATTTCAGTCTCCATTCAGGTACGTGACAGCCTGGTGTGCCCTATGGCCAGCCCAGGCTTGGCGAAACCCATCTCCACCACCAAGCTCTTTGGTGAAGTCCAATTAGTGCTTAGATCCTGTGCCTGCATCATCCGCCAGGGTGACCTGCTTGTGTATTTATCCTGCTGGTCGGTGTGAACCTCTCTACTGCTATATCTGCTGGTCTCCAAACCTGACCATGACAACGTGTGTTTTTTTCCAACCTAACCATGCTACTATGACCTGATTAAATGGTTTTATATTATCTCATGGCTT